AATCTCTGTATTGCTTCCCTACTCTCCCATAATTGTCATAGTTATTTTCCTTTTTTTTTTTTTTTTTTTAATTTCTTATACTGTTTTCTTCATGGTTTCCCTTTGTGTTACATTTAGTAACTAGGATATTTTCTATTGTATATGAAGACTTATGTTCACAAAAATCATCAAATTTGTTAGGAAAATGCTGTTTTGAAGAATCAATTCTTATTTGCCCATGAAGGACTTATAGGAGTGCCTGGGTTTCAAAAAGATATGGGTAAGCACTGACCAAGTACACAGAAGAGACCTCTTTTTGAGTATTTATGGCCCTCTTAGAGAGAAGCATGTAAGGAGGTTACCTTCTTAGAACTGGGCCAGGTACATATTTAATTGATAGAGGTAAAAAATTGTGGACTTACTAATATAATAGTGTGTCTGATATTTCTATAAACTAAAATTGTTGTGCAATAAATTTTGTAAATGGCTGAGCTTTTGTTTTAAAATTTTTAAATTTTCCTTCTGAAACTAGATAAAAGGTATTCAAGGTAGTGACAGACTACAAAGCAAATAGGTTTTTCAGATGTGCTCATTAATCAGAGAGCTTTATCTCAGAGATGGATTATCAAATGAACAGACACTGAGCCATTTTTTTTTTTGTAAAGCAACTTTACTGTAAGACAAATAAGATGGATGTGAATCTTCACAATCTCTAATCTGTTTGGAGTAAAAGTATTAGAATATTCAAAGTAAAAGTGTGCCTAATAGTATAAAAATCTAAGATTATTTCAGATATGTTTAAAACATTGATTTGTTCAGTAAAGTTTATTTAAGAGAATATGAAAAAGTGAAAGGCTTGCATTTAGCCTGTTAGAAGAAAATAGAGTGTTAAAGAAGTATACTCTTAGGTAACAGAACATGAAGATTTCACTTGACTGAGGTAAGTGAAAATTCAAAAAGAATCTACTTTTAATGTATAAAAAGGCAATAGTATTAAGAAAATGGAAATTAATATGTATTTGGCAAGGTATGACAATAGCTAGAAAAATGATAATCCTATCTGACCAAATTATATAAATCTGCAGGTCCAGGTGAAACACATCTAATTTTTTAAAAAGAACTAATGAAGGAACTCTTGGAACCTCTGAGAATGTACTTCAGTAAACCATAGGAATCAGGAAAGGTGCCAGAAAACAGGAAAAATGTGATACCTAACCTAAAGAAGGGTAGGAAAGAAGTCCCAAGGAACTGACAGCCTGATGGTTAATCCAGAAAAAAATCTTGACCTTTTATACTTAGTATAGTCTGTAACTCTTAGGGAAAAACTCCATGACAACACTTCTTAAACACAGTTTTAGTTAAGTAATGCTAATATTTTTCAGAAAATTGTCAGGCTAGCTATAGTTTCAAAATAGCTTAAGCAATCTAAACTCTTAACCTAATGTGAGGAATGTGACACACTTAAAATTATGTATTTATGCCATAATCTGAAATAAAACTTGAGTGATACAGACGTAGCCAATATTAGATAGACAGATAGATCATGCAAGTAGATTATGATTTTCTTCAGATTAATTTTTATCCTTATTACTTAGAAAAAATAACAGTTATTTATTACTTAATTGAACAACCAAAAGACAGCCAACTTTCAAAGTCACATTTGTTGCACTTCATGATTACTCTTGAATCACCTGGAACACGCTCTTGTCTATAGAGTCTTGGTAGAAACAAAGAACTCTTCTGGCTTAATTTCA